CCAGCGAAGCGTCATTGAGCTGGACACCCCCTCCATGACAGCAGAGCAAATAGAGGCCCTGGAGAGGAGCGTGAATGAGAAAATCAGGGAGAGGGTGCCTGTGACAGTGAGGGAACTGGCTGCAGATGACCCTGACATTGAAACAGTGAGTGGTGGGGGAGAACTGATGATATCTGCGGGGCCGAGACAACCAGAGCATGGATGCCACCGTGGTGCCAATGTCCTCATGCTAGGTGAGAAGCCGTGGCTTGCCGGATGACCACGTGGGGCCAGTGCGAGTTATTGACATCGAAGGCATAGACTCCAACATGTGCTGTGGGACCCACGTCTCCAACCTGAGTGACCTGCAGGTGCTGAGCTGCTCTGGGGAGCGTTTGGAAGTCCCTGAGATCCATGGTCTGTTGGCATTGCCCCAGTAGTAGAGGGGGTAGCAGGAGCCCTGTGCTGGGTGAACCCAGCAGCACCATGCCCAGGGCGCAGTCTGCATCCACTCACTCAGGTGAATGCAGGAAAGGCCCCTCCTGGCCTGGTCTTTCTTCATAGCAGACCTCAGCCCTCACCTGCAGCAATGGTATTACCTGAACTGCCGGTGCTCTGCAAGGCCATGTGCTGGATTGCCAGCGTGGCAATGCCGCGCTGGGTTGTTCCCTGCTTAAAGCACTGATATTTTTGAGTGCTTGTCATGAACGAGAGAGAAATCCTCTGCAGGGAGGGGGAGAGAAAATTCTAGAGCTGCTTTTAAGCGTTTCTGTCTTTTCAGTCTTTTGTGGGGGTCTGTATCCTACCAGAGACCTCTGGGTGCACTGCAGAGTGCAACCCAGGCTGAGCAAATCATACTCATTCCACTGTATCACCCTCCTTTGGGGGGTTTTTGCATGTTGACCTTTAATCACTGGCAGAGTCAATACTCACAACAAGGCATAATCTGGTAGGAACTGGCCACCTGCGTGAGTATAAGGAAAATACTGTTCTTTTCTGACCGGGGTGATTTTCTTTTTAAGGTTATTAAACTCCTCGGCACAGAAAAAGGGAAAAAGAACAAAACCAACTTGGTTTTCCTGGCAGGAAACAGAGTGCTGAAGTCACTTGAACAAAGTCACAGTACTGAGAAGGCTCTGACTTCACTGCTCAAGTAATACCCTTTCCACTTCTGTTACTTCATCATTATGATTCCTTCTGACAAATAGCACATAAGCCTCAGCAAATGTCTACACGGAGCTTTTTATGATGTTAACCTTCTCTTGCTCCTTTAAGAAACCCTTTCCTTGTCCTCCAGAGCAGTGATCCCAGTTCTTGTTCTTTCAGAAACGGACCAGGTGAGCACGTAGAGGCCGTGAAGAGACTGCAGAGCTCAGTGAAACTGCTGCAGAAGGTACAAGGGTGACTGAGAAAGGCTTCCTGTAGAGCCAAGCTTTAGTCCTAACTGGGAACTGGATTGTGGATGTTAGGAAAACTGCTCCAGCCCCTGGGAACACAGCGGGGGGTTCGTGATTTCTCCATCTGCAGCACAGTTTGGTTGCTTTGCTTGCAGAATAACTTGAACCTGCTTAGAGACATTGCTGTTCTGATAGCCCGGGACTTCAAGAGCAAGCCTGTTCCAAGTCAGCTCTTTGTGCTACACAGGTACAGAGGAGTTCGGGGAAAAGGGGGAAATGGCATCATGGTATCTTAGACATGTTATGGCAGTTGCATCTCTCCATCACCTTTTCAAGCTTGTTTCTCAAGGAAGAATATAAGCAAGGTGGATAGAGGATTAAACTGCCTCAGTCTGCTGGAAGGCTGTGTCATTAAAGGAACGTGTTAGTAATTCAGTCATTGAGTTCTTCTGCTTTTATAGCTCTGAAATAACTGTGTCTGGTTTCTCTCTGCCATTGATATTTTCAAATAAAACTGAAGAGCTCTATTTCTTAGGGATAAACACAAATAATTCCCCATATATCCATAGGAATGCACAGTGAGGGTTTAGATACACAGAGAAGCCCTGGTCTCCATCCTAACAGCAAGAGGCCAGAACCCCAGGCCTGATCAGACCTTTGGTTTCTGCTTGGTATTTTGGACTCTAGAGGGGACTTTTGCCTCTTTCTGAAGTGGGTTTTTTTCTTACCCATCCCTGCAGGAAAGAGGGTGACTCTGAGTTTATGAACATCATCGCTAATGAGATTGGGACAGAGGTAAGTGACTGATGGAGACTCACCTGACCCTATGGGCTCTTTCATTCAGGCTATAGCCCAGGCAGGGGCTGACAGGGCTTCTCTTTGTCCCATAGTCCCAAGCAAGGTGTGTTTACTTCCAAAAGTTACCTGAGGTTATTGTCCCCGTCAGCCTGGGTCTGCAGGGGAATCCTCAACAGTCAGGAAATACACCCGGGAAAATCCAGAGCTCTGCAGAAGAGCCTGTGCTTAGAGAGCCACACAGAACCTTACTGGGAATAGGATAGGATGGAATATTGCAGTTGGGAGGGGGAATGGAATAGACTGTTGCAGTTGGAAGGGATCTACAATGGTCATCCAGTCCAAGTGCCAGCTGTATCCTTTGAACGTGGATACCCCCATGTTCTGTCCCTCACATATGGTTGAGGTTAAGGTTAAGAAACTCGCTCCATTTTACTTCCTTCAACTTGAGTCTCTGCCTCAGTAATGCACACAGACTCCTGAATTATCGGATGGGTCCTGTGGCCAGTGCCTTTGTCCTCCTCCAGACAAGGAGGGCACTGGGTATTCTGGAGCAAGATCCATCTCTCTGTCCACAGAAAACCCTGCTGTTCCTGACTGTGGGAGATGACAAAGAAGCAGGACTCTTTCTTCTAGCTGGACCAGTTGAAGCAGTTGAGCATTTAGGTCCCAGGTAACATGTTCTGTGGGCTCTTTAAAACCAGTGAGAATCTGATGTTGCAGCCTGAGCAGCATCGTTGAGGCACGGATCCGTGTTTGCTGTCTGGAATGGGTTGGGCCAGGCCAGTCTCTTCTCTGCAAGTGAGAAGGAGCCTGTACTGCTGTTACTGCAGGGTGGCAGAGCTGCTGGGGGGCAAAGGAGCTGGGAAGCGAGGCCGCTTTCAGGGCAAGGCCACCAAGATGAGTCGGCGAGGAGAAGTGGAAGCTCTGCTCCAGGAGTTCACCAGCAGTGGGAGCCCTGAAGCCTAAGAACGGTTCTCAAAGCAGAGCCGTTCTGTACCTGCCTTGCGTAAGCCCCAGCACCTTCTCTCCCAGAGAATAAAGACATCAACCCGGCGGCTGGCGTTGGCGTGCTCTGTGTGAGCTGGTTTGGTGCTCATGGAACGCTGGGGACGGGGATGTGCCCTCCACGCTTTGCTGTGAGGGATCCATCAGTTCCTGGAGGAACGGTGCGTGTTCCCGGCTCACACCTCGCCCGGGCAGAGGCAAACCTTTCCCTTGGTGGGGTGCAGTTGTCACCGGTGCGGTCCTCAATAAATGGGGAATTTCCCCCCCCTCTCTATGCAGGAAATGGCAGGTTTGGTCCTATTGCTGCTAATAAATAGAGAAATAAAAGAGAGCTCTATCCTAAGGAGGTTTATCTGTGATGAACACAGGATATACGCCTCTTCCTGATGTTCCAAGGGCTGGAGCACCTCCACTATGGGGCCAGGCTGAAAGAGCTGGGCTGGGTCAGCCTGGAGAAGGCTCCTTAAGGGGAGACCTGAGAGCAGCTCCAGTGCCTGAAGGGGCTGCAGGAAACCTGGAGAGGGGCTTGGGACAAGGGCCTGTAGGGACAGGCCAAGGGGAATGGCTTTAACCTGCCCGAGGGGAGACTGAGCTGAGCTCTTAGGCAGAAGCTCTTCCCTGGGAGGGTGCTGAGGCGCTGGCACAGGGTGCCCAGAGAAGCTGTGGCTGCCCCATCCCTGGCAGTGTTCAAGGCCAGGTTGGACACAGGGGCTTGGAGGAAGCTACTCCAGTGGAAGGGGTCCCTGGTCATGGCAGGGGTTGGAGCTGGAGGAGCTTTAAGGTCCCTTCCAACCCACACTGTTCTGTGATGCTGGGATGGGTTTTGGTGTGGGTTCTGCAGGTTTACCATTGGGTCGGAAGGAAGGTGCTCTCTTGCCTTGTGGCTCTTGGTGTTTTGGCAGAGGGCTCCCATCGGAGGCCTGGCAAGGGCTGCAAAGCCTCCAAACATCAGCTACGTGCAGTGAAGGCTGATCCAAGCTGCAGCAAGACCACGGCTGTTACCGGGGCTCTGCTGAGCACCATCTCCCAAAGGCATTGCAAGATCTGAGCAGGGGAAAGGGGCCACAGCGGAGAGCAGAGCACTGTTGATGCTTGCAGCTGGGTATGGGGTAAATGCTGCAGGAGCTGGTGCTTTGGGGGACATGGATACTGCATGTACAGTATCCAGGGGCTGAGCCAGCACTGATCACCCAGCCCTGCCCTGGCACAGCCCCAACTGAGCCGCTCGGTCCCAAAGCTGTGCTTGTTTCCATAAGCAGACAGGTGACACAAGCACGTCCCTGTTCCTATACCCAGAAGCCCTGGATAAACAGCACAAAAAGCAGCTCATCCCCTCCCGCTGTGCTGCCTGCATCTGACTGCACCCAGGGGGTGAACAGCGATGAGGACCGGGGAAACCCAGCACTGCCTTTCCCAGTGGTTTAATCCTGTCAACACCAAGAGCAGTCCCACCCCATCCCTGCGCCCTGGAGCCAGTCACCCATCCCACCTCAGCAGCCAGCAATACGGGCACCCTCAGCAGCTAAACACACCTTCAGCTTTAATAATACACCTCTTGCTCCCAGCTATATGTGTGTGCAGATACGCATCCCGTGTGTGTATCCCGCAAGCCAGCGCTTTGTCTCCAAATCAGTGTCTGCTGTTCCTGGCCAGCAGCCCCTGAGCACCCATGGGCGAGCACCCTGCTCCCGGCGGTGCCTCCTCCAGCCCTGCAGCACGGAGGTGGCGCGGCCCCATGAGCTGCAAGGGCAGCGCAGCCTTGTCCCCACGCTGCACCAGGTCCTGGGGGCGAGGAGAGCGCTGGGCTCACCATGCCATCGGCTGGCCGCAGACCACCCGAGCCTACACCGTGCCCAGCGCTATGGGTCCATGCAGGAGCCGCCCGGCAGCACCTTCCCTGTCCGCAGTCAGTCTGTGCAGGCTTAGAGGGGGAGCAAACAGTGCTGGGTGCATCCACGGTCTGTGACTGCCTCCGAGGCCAGAGCCCGGGCACACCGTTACCTGCAGGGCCGTTCCTACGCAGCCTTCTTGTCCCGCGTGGCCAGGAGCTGGGAGATGCAGTAAGGGACGAGGCCGACAGTGGCCAGCGGCACGGCTGCGCTCTTGCAGAACGAGAGGACGTAGAAGAGCAGTTGCATGTGGGAGGGCAGCTTGAAGGCATCGAAGAGGTGCAGGATGAGGAGGGAGGCAGCGGCGCAGCCCAGGCGGAACGGCAGCCGCTGGCCCTGCTTCCCCCGGCAGCTCTCCAGGTACATGTGGGAGTTGAGGGCCAGCCCCAGCCCGAAGAGGATGCCCAGGTTACGGAGGAGGCTGGCGAAGGGGGTGGTGTCGATGTGGACCCACTCGGGGCGCTTGCACCACTTCTGTGCCTTTTCCAGTGTCCAGAGCAGGTCCACGCCGACCGCCCGCAGCAGCAGGTAGAAGCCAAGGGCGAAGCTGAAGAGGAAGAAGGTGATGCCCACGTAGCGGCGGAGGCTGGCGTGGTAGATGCAGCGGACGTGCTGGAAGCTCTTGGCCACGGCCATCCCTGCCGGTAAGGAGGCAGTGCCCATCGGTGAGGGATCCCTGCTCCATCCCTGCTCCTCAGGGTGCTGGAGCTGAGCAGGGGACGTGTTGCTGGGGCTCCCCAGTGCTCCCACAAGGCACTCACTGCCCTGGCAGCCACTGCTGCTCACAGGGACTGGCTCTGTCCCTCACACAGTGATGGCCCTTTCACACCCACGTTTGTGGTCCCTCAGGGCCCAGCAGTGCCCTGCCTGCCCCACTGGGACTCCTGCCTCAGACGGGGCAGGGAGTGGAGGGCATCCTGCCCATGAGGAGGAGGGCAGTGAGTGCAAAGCCACAGAGGCAGCTTTGCATCAACACCTCACATGCACCTATCTATCAGGCACCCTTCCTGCCCGGTGCTGCAGGTGCTGTGGGGAAGGCGATGGGGCTCAGATGCACTCACCTGAGATAACCCCTGCGATGACCTGATGGGGGAAGTGGGCAGCAATGAAGACTCGGGACAGGCAGACACAGACCTGGACCGCCCAGAACCCCATCCACAGCACTGTCCACAGCACCCTGCAAGGGGCAGGCACCCGTGTCAGCCCCAGCGCTGACTGACACTGCCCGGGTCTGCCCCCAGCCCTGTGCCCGGCTGGCTCTGGAGCAGCCCCTGCCCACTGCAGGTACTTGCAGCCCACTGCTCACCAGTATTTGAGTGTCTTCAACTGCTTCTTCCCCATGGCAGCGGAGAGGAGGGCTGTCACCATGACATAATACACGCCTGCTGCACCCATGGCGTGTCCGGAGGGGCTCCCTGAGTGCAAAGAGAGCCCCACATCAGAACCCCCCCCATAGAGTGGCACCAATTGCATGGTGCCCAGCACCAGTCTCCCTGTGGCTGCTGCTCTGGAGCCCACTGAGCGGCTGCCAGCGCATGGGGCTGGAGCTGAGCACGGCCCTGGCACAGGGCTGGAGCTGAGCACGGCCCTGGCACAGGGCTGGAGCAGAGCACGGCCATGGCACAGGGCTGGAGCAGAGCACGGCCATGGCACAGGGCTGAAGCTGAGCACAGCCCTGGCACAGGGCTGCAGCTGAGCATGGTCCTGGCACAGGGCTGCAGCTGAGCATGGTCCTGGCACAGGGCTGCAGCCAAGCACAGGCAGGGCTTGGTGCTGAACCGCCACGTGTGCACCGGGGTCAAGGTCTGCTCCACGCAGGGGCTGTCTCTGCCTCCATCGGCAGCAGTTCCAGTCCTCCCTGGGGAGCCAGGCAGGGTTACGGTGGGCAGCAGCCACAGCCACGGCCATGCCACCACCTCCCTCCCCATAGGGAGCTGCATGTGCAGGGTCCCGGGCAAGCACCCACTGTCCCTTCCAGGGACCCACCGGGGCCGGTCTCGCAGGTGAGTGGGAACTGCTGGATGGCTGGGGCAGAGGCGTTGCTGTAATAATCTGTCTCATGGACCCACCAGTATGGTCTTTCCCCAAAGAGGATCCTGCAAAGAAAGAAGAACCGGGGCTGTAGGGGTCCTGGGCAGCAGAGCTGGTGGCATGGCCTCGGGTTCCACTCTGGCCTGGGAGCTGGAGGAGGCAAAGGACCCATGGAATGGTCCAGGGTGTCCCAACAGACACAAACAACATCCAGCAGATTGCTTGGTCCCAATAGCAAACACCGCCTATGCTCTGCCCATCCCTGGCCCCTGAAAGGGGAGAGCAGGGCAACAAGCTGAGAAAGAAGAGTGGTGTCTGCTCCCCTTCAGTCTTTTTCAGGCCAAGAGCAACTGTCTTGTGGTGGCATCGAAGGCAGAGGGCACCCATCCCTGTCACACCTGCAGGCAAGCACAGGCATCCAGGGGGATTTGAGCTGCAGGAAGGCACAGAACTGGGTCCTGCTGCAGGGACACGGGGTGCAGCCCCAGAACCTTGGGATGCTGAAAGGCTGCGGCGGGGATGGCACCCCTGGGTACCACAGCCCGCTGCCAGGATGGGACATGACCTCTTTTATCTGTTTTACGCCCGTGTCAAGGCTGGGAGCGCACATCTGGCCCTCCCTGCTCCAGCTGTGCCAGCACGCGTGGAGGGAGCTGTGGCACGGGGCCACTCACCACTTGAAGACGAGGTTGAGCCAGTCGCCGATCACGGCCACCCAGATGAGCCTGATGCCCACGGCCTCGTTGGAGTGGAACCAGATGGGGAAGAGGACAAAGAAAGCGTTCCTGAGGTCGGCAGCGAAGGAGATGAAGAGGAACAAGTCCTGGGAGCCGCGGAAGTGCTCCTGCAGCCAGTGCGTGGCCTGGATGCCCGCGTCGTGCAGGAGGTTCATGCTGGGTTCCATCCTCCTGCGTGGCTCGGGCTGTCCCGCGCTGCACCGCGCCGCCAGCGTTTTATACTCCTCAGGGTCGTGTTTGCTGCGGGCAGGTTGCTTGTCCCAGCGCCGATCTTTGGACCCAAAACCACTTTTGCCAAAGGTGCATCACCGAGGGGTTGTTACAAACATGTTTGGAACAGCTGACGTAAAAACAGGCTCCGGGGCGCGTGGAGCGCCGGGTGCTCCGGCACCAGCACCTTAACCCCTTCCCACACCGCCGCCTCCCTGCAGGGTGCTGGTGGCTGCCTCAGCCGGGGCTCCTGCAGCTCCTGCCCTTCCTGAGAGCCGGCTCAGCGGCTCCCACTGAACCTGTTCGCTGTTAGCAGGGAGGAGATGCAGGTGCCTGTGCCCTGTGTGAACGGCCCTACGGAGCTGTGGCGCGTTCCCCATCCCTCTGCCATCACCCCAGCACCACCAGAGCGCTGCAGGGATGCCCAGGAGCAGGGAGTGGGTTGTGTGTGGAGTGCAGGGCCAGGTGCCTCCAGCTGATGAAGAGCCACCTTGCTGCCACACCAGGCTGCTCGAGGGTCATGGGAACTTCCCAAGCCATGGGCAGCTCCTGGTTGTCAGTGACGTTGTTCTGGTCTCTGGTGCGGGGTTACAGGGTGCAAAGGGTCCTTAACCCACAGATGAAGAAAGGCATTCCCCCCAGCACAGATCCTCTGGGTTAACCCCTCCTGCACAAGTGCCCTGCCTGCAGGGATGGAGCTGAACACATCACTCATCCCAGCAGTGCTGGCACCGCAGCTTCATCACCCCAGGGAGCAGCATCCCTGGGAGGTGGTGCTGAATGAGGAGCCTGGAGCTGTTCCAGGAGCCTGAGCCCTCGGCATCAGCCTGGCCAGAGAACCCTGCTGGGCACGGCCCCGCAGCCCCATGGCAGCCCCATGCACGGGGTGCCCCAGCAGAGCCTCCCGCAGTGGAAGAGGTGGGACAGGCAAAAGGTGTTAATGATTAGCGGCCAGTGAAAACACATCACTTATCTCCCCTCCTCGAGAAAGTTCAGGTCAAGATCCTTGAACCGCTGCCCATGTGCTGTCTGCCATGGCATGGAGCAGGCAGAGGTCGTGCCCAGGCTCTGCTCTGCTGCGGGCAGCATCCTGCCCCCTTTACCTGCACACAGCCCAGGGAGCCAACAGGCAAACCCACTGCAATCCCCCCTGCCTGGGGTACAGGCACAAAAGCCCAGCGAAGCCGAAGGTTGCACGGAAATGGAATTACTCTTGCAAAACAAACTCCCCAGCAGCTCGTTCCAGGGTCTTCAACCCGGCGCGAAGGAATGCGGCAGCCTTGGCTTCCGCATCGAGAACGTTTTGAAACAGCAATAAATTCTCCCTGGGAGATTTCACAGCGGAAAATGGGGGCAAAAGGTGCTGGGGGATGGGGATTAGCGAGTCCTTGGAAAGAATCCCTGCAGGAGAAGTGGGGCCACGGCAGGGAGAGGCCACGTCCGCCCCACAGTCCAGCACCAGCCAGGCTGTGAGTGCTGCTTCCCAGTGCCCTGCTCTGCACGTAGATCCCTGGCCCCAGACTGGCTCCAGCTTTCCCATGGGAGGAGCAGGGCCAGGCTGCGGGTGCTTTATCCCTGTGCTGGGCTCTGTGCGCAGGCAGGTTTGGATCAGGCTCAGCACCCGGAGCTGTGCGCAGCTGCCTCCGGACCACAGTGTCCCCACGACTCCCAAGGCACCGGCTGCAGCTGCAGGCGATGCTGTGCACGTGGGAGCTCTAACGCACTGTGCTGCACATGGGGCCGCTGCTCCATCCAGAACATTCCCAGCCCGTGGGCAGCAGCAGGGAGCGAGCTGGGTCGCTGCAGCATGGAACTGCCCGGTCCTGCCTGCGTCAGCGTGCGGGCAGAGTCCAGGCAGCACCGCAAGCACGTGGGCACGCAGTGGCAGGCAGGGAGCCGCAGCAGGGAGCATCCCGCATGCTCCACCACGCTCCTCCCGCTGTCACCCCAAGACACCCCTGGGCCTCGTGCCGAGCCATGCCCTGGATCTGCACAGCATCCTTCCCTGCGCCGCACAGCATCCTTCCCTGCGCCGCACAGCATCCTTCCCTGCGCCGCACAGCATCCTTCCCTGCGCCGCACAGCATCCTTCCCTGATCTGCACAGCATCCTTCCCTGCGCCGCACAGCATCCTTCCCTGCGCCGCACAGCATCCTTCCCTGATCTGCACAGCATCCTTCCCTGCGCTGCACAGCATCCTTCCCTGCGCTGCACAGCATCCTTCCTTGCGCTGCACAGCATCCTTCCCTGTGCCGCACAGCATCCTTCCTTGCACTGCACAGCATCCTTCCCTGCGCCGCACAGCATCCTTCCTTGCGCCGCACAGCATCCTTCCCTGCGCCGCACAGCATCCTTCCCTGATCTGCACAGCATCCTTCCCTGATCTGCACAGCATCCTTCCCTGATCTGCACAGCATCCTTCCTTGCACTGCACAGCATCCTTCCCTGCACTGCACATCATCCTTCCTTGCACTGCACAGCATCCTTCCCTGCACTGCACATCATCCTTCCTTGCACTGCACAGCATCCTTCCCTGCGCTGCACAGCATCCTTCCCTGATCTGCACAGCATCCTTCCCTGCGCCGCACAGCATCCTTCCCTGATCTGCACATCATCCTTCCCTGATCTGCACAGCATCCTTCCCTGATCTGCACAGCATCCTTCCTTGCACTGCACAGCATCCTTCCCTGCACTGCACATCATCCTTCCTTGCACTGCACAGCATCCTTCCTTGCACTGCACAGCATCCTTCCCTGCACTGCACATCATCCTTCCCTGCACTGCACATCATCCTTCCTTGCACTGCACAGCATCCTTCCTTGCACTGCACAGCATCCTTCCTTGCACTGCACAGCATCCTTCCCTGATCTGCACAGCATTCTTCCCTGTGCTGCAGCAAGCCAGGCTGGCTCCAAGGGGATGCCCAGGGCTGCTTGAGCCCATCACAGCTTGGCCCTGGGCAGACCCAGCTCCCACAGCAAGGGGGCAGAGGGGATGGGTGCCCACCATGCCCCCAGGGACACAATGGCCAGCACTCGGCATCCACAGCCACATGAGGCTGGAGCTGAGCGACCCTCACCAAGCTCCTCAGTGTCCCCACCCCAGCCCGGTAGAGCGAGGATGAGCTTTGGATAGTGTGGAATTCGGTGGGGGGTGCAGGAGCAAGGGTCCCTGTGCCGGCGGGGGCTGAGCACACTGGGCAGCAGCCAAGGCCAGAGCCGATTGATGCACCTCGGACCGGCCGTTACACATTAACTCCCTTGTTTGTCCCACATTCCGCTGCAGGAACCTCCAGCCAACACCCCGGGTCCAAGAGCACAGCCAGTGCCAGGCTCTGCCCCACCGCCCTTGGACCCCAGGAGCACCCCAGAGCCGAGCCAGGACCCCCCGTTACAGACACCAGTGCCCGCAGCAGCGCTGGGCTCTGGCCTCCAGCCACAGAAGCAGCAGCAGCACCCATGAGCTGCACATTGGTTTGGTCAGAAAAGCATCCGCATGCCTGTTTATTGGGGAAGGGTGGACACGGGGCAGCACCCGTCCCATGCTCCTTGTCCTGCAGGCTCTCAGCGCGCTGTCCCTGTCCCCAGAGCTTGGCACCGCTGCAGCAGCCGCAGCTCAGCATCAGCCCCGGAGCTGCACATCCAGGGGGCCGGGGTGGATGTTTTGGGCATCCCGGAGCTGCTGGCTCCAGTGTGGCTGGGCACACGTGGACCACGGCTCCAAGGGGAGCTGCAAGCTCTGTGCAGTGCCCAGCCCTGGCCAGCACCGTCCCCCTGTGTGCAGTGACCTACCTTGGGGAGCAGCAGGAGCCGCGGTCGTGGAAGAGCAAAGCAGCTGTGGGCAGCCCACAGCATTTTGGGTGGCATCCTGGATGCGGTCTATGAGAGGTCACTCCTTGGGGCTGTCCTTTAGAGGCTGTGAGCCCATGTTTGGCGGTGCTGTGGGGCTGAAACAAGAACTGAGCTCACCCTGAGCATGCAGCATCCCAGACATGGGGAGGGCGGTCCTGGCGTGGCACCGGCACCCCTCCAAGGACCCCACACTGCAAGGGGCTGGGCAGCAGCAGCCCCTTCCCCATCAGAGTGCACCAGGCAGCGGGGCCAGGCTGAGGTTGAGGAACCCCCCGTAACGGAAGGGGGGCAGATGGGGGGCACAGGCTGGGGGCGGGCAGGCCAGCGGGTTGGCTCCGCACATCCCGGGGTCCTGCTCGCTGCTGAAGTAGACGCTGTCGGGTGAGTCCACCGAGGGGTCCTCATCGAAGTAGTTGTAGGGCCTCAGGAAAAAGCCAACGCCGTTCCCCACGGTCACCGTGTTGGGGATGTCTTCAGCATGGGGGACGTGCAGGAACCCCACCGAGATCCAGGCCACCAGGTCCTGGGTAGGAGGGGAGCCGGGCACCCCGTCAGCCCCACGGAGTCCCTTTCAGCCCGTCACCCACCCAGGTTGGCTGCGGGACACGTGGGGCAGGAGCCGGGGCTGCACCCACAGCATTGGGCTCCACGGGCGCAGGGGTCCCCGGCTCACCTCGTTGGTGATGGTCTCGTTGTTGATGAAGTCAGCGAAGGCAACGGTGGGCGTCCAGGGGTCGTTCTGGTTGTAGATGCTGGTGCTGGCGGGCTCCTCCTCCTTCCGACGGGTGACGGCCAACTGGTACCTGCGCAGGGAGCAGAGGGGCTCATCCGTGCGATGCCGGGCACCACCGCCTGGGGATGCACAGGGGCTGAGCGCATCCCTGGTGCGTGCCGGGGCACCAGCTCCGGCCTGCATCAGGGAGGGAAAAGGAGGGGCTGGCGCATGCGATTGCTCTAAATTAATCTTATCTAGGGTCAGATTCGTGCCTGTGAACTGCTGCAAACAGATGGCGTTGAGCAGCTTTTCCAGGGATTCTCAGAGCCAAAAACTGCACGTTTGGTGTTTACCCCGTCCCTGCAGCCCGGCACGGGTTGGGAGCGGTGGGACCCAGTGTCCAGCCCTGGACCTACCTGCCCCAGCTGATGGCT